GTTTTTTTGACAGAAAGCTGGTTTTTCCCACTTTTGAGCCACATTTTCTGGCTTTTCATACCACCATGGTGATCTACTCACCTGGGAGGCCACCAATATGGGTAGGCCGACCAGTAATTCACTTTGCCCCTTTTGAACCTTGCTTAAAAGCTAGTTTTTCTCTCTCCTGAGTCACATTTTCTGATTTTTCTCCACAGGGTTGTGTTCTACTCATCTGGGAGGCCACCTTTCTGGGTAGGTCAACCAGCAATTGTTCTTGAACCCTTTGACCCCTGGTCGACCGACCAGGGGGAGTGGTCGGCCGGCCACTTGAACTGGCCGGCCTGCTTATTGCTTTTCTTCTCTTTGAGTGTAATCCAGCTGTGCCAGCTGGAGATCATTTGGTGCATATGGAGGATCTTTGAAGCTTCCAAGGGAAGCTTTGGCCTCTCTTCTCTATAAGAGAGGCCCTCCTCTTCATATCTAAGGGTTAGACAATTTTGCTTAAGGCTCATCACCTCCCACCTCCATTGCTACTATTCCAAGCTCCAAAACCCAAACTTCCTTAGTCCATTTACACTACAACCCATAGCACCACACCACCATCATCCATTCCAGCCCCTTGGAAGTCATTTGCAGAGGTTGAAAGCTCATTTCCTTGGACCAAAGGCTGCTGGAAAGTTGGGCTACAAGGGTAAGCTCCTATTCTTCCCATTTTGGCACTATTTTGTTCTATATCTTAGCCCATTTTTCTTACATTTTTGGGCTTCGGCCTGAACTAAAAAAAGTCTTATTTTGAGCTCATATTCATGTTTGATTAATGACTTTTCTCTGTTTGAAGTCTTCTACTCCCCCTTTGTGCTTTATCCCTCTTTTGGGACTTATTTTGCATGATATATTAGCCCTGTTTTTGAGCATTTTTGGGCTTCGAGCCAAACTGTGAAGTACCTTATTTTGAGCCCCTCTTCAACTTTGTTGAAGGGATATTTACTATTTGAGGCCATCTACTGCCCCTTTCCCTTTATCTCTCTTTTAGGGCTATTTTTGCATCATATTTTAGCCTTATTTGTGAGCATATTCGAGATTTACCATAAACTGTAAAGTATCTTGTTTTGAGCCCCTCTTCAACTTTGTTGAAGGGCTCTTTGCTGTTTGAGGCCTTTTGCTGCCCTGTTTGTTCTATCTCTGTTTTAAGGCTGTTTAGCCTTATTTGTGAGCCATTTTAGACCTCGACCTAAACTGAAAAAAAATCTTTTTTTGATATTATCTTTATGTTTGATTAAGGTCTATTCTCTGTTTGGGGTCATCTTCCCCTATGCATGCTTCATTCCTTCATGATTAAGGCTATGCATCAGAGCACTTGCATTGGCCATGATTTAGCCTCTTAGCCACTGAAATCCATCAAATTTGGGCTGCGTGTTCAGATTTCAGAAATTTAAAGTTTGGGCTGCGTGTTCAACTTTCAATCAAATGTGGGTTGCGTGTTCACAATCAAATTTGGGCAGCGTGTTCAGATTTCAGAAATTTAAAGTTTGGGCTGCGTGTTCAACTTTCAATCAAATGTGGGCTGCGTGTTTATCATCAAATTTGGACTGCGTGTTCAGATTTCAGAAATTTAAAGTTTGGGCTGTGTGTTCAACTTTCAATCAAATGCGGGCTGCGTGTTCACAATCAAATTTGGGCTGCGTGTTTAGATTTCAGAAATTTAAAGTTTGGGTTGCGTGTTTAACTTTCAATCAAATATGGGCTGCATGTTCACAATCAAATTTGGGCTGCGTGTTCAGATTCCAGAAATTTAAAGTTTGGGCTGCGTGTTCAACTTTCAATCAAATGTGGGCTGCGTGTTCACCATCAAATTTCGGCTGTGTATTCAGATTTCAGAAATTTAAAGTTTGGGCTGCGTGTTCAACTTTAAATTAAATGTGGGCTGCGTATTCACCATCGAATTTGGGCTGCGTGTTCAGATTTCAGAAATTTAAAGTTTGGACTGCGTGTTCAACTTTCAATTAAGTGTGGGCTGCGTGTTCACAATCAAATTTGGGCTACGTGTTTAGATTTCAGAAATGCTTTGAAAATGCTTTGAGAAATAAGGTTTCAAGGCCTAAAACATTTTGGTCAAAATGGGTATAAGGTTAGGATTTAGAGCTTGAACCCGGATTTCTTTGTTGAGAGTTCAAAAGATTGCACAATGTAACTTTCATCGGGTGTTCGGAATGAAGCGCCCAAGTCTTGGGGACGGTCAAAATAGGGTGTCTACACCACTCCATTTCCCCTCTTTAACCCCCAACTCTTTTCCCTTTCCCATTACCAGTGTTTTTAAAGGCTCAAGGCGCACTAAGGCGCCGAAGGTCTCTTGGAGCCTAGGCGCAAGGCGCAAGGCGAGGCGCGGGCTTTATTGAAGTAAGGCGCACAGTATTCGTAAAAAATAGAAAAATTAATATAGACTAATCATTCATAGTAGTAAGACAATTTTTTAAAAAATAAAAAGTAATCAACATTCAAGACAAAATATAGAATAATTCTCAAAGCCATGAAAGTGCATATTACATAACATTCCAATTTTCAAAGATCAAATAATCCACATTCAATAAAATAAAAACATAAACACTAAACATCGAAAACATAAATATCCAACAAATATTAATATATGTCTTAACACTTAAAAACATCAATATCAAAAGAAAGGGTAGGTTAGGTCGGTGTCAGTCAATCATCATCCTCAACATCAATGGCAAGCAAACTATCATCTTCTTCTCCATCAGTTGATTTGTATCCCTCAACATCTTCCTCCTCTGTGTCATCTGAGCCCGCTTCCTCTTCATCTATTAATTGAAGTGGAGTCAATGTTGATGATTTAGATATCCTCGGTTGTGCCTTTGAGCGTGAACTTGTTGCTCTACTTGCATGGCTACTTTCTTCTACTCCAGAAGCTCTAGCAACAGTGGCCCACGTCAAGCCATCATCATCATCAAACACAGGCTCATTATCTTCATCTGATTCTCCATCCATCCTCCCAAGCAACCACTCATTGCTTTCATCAATATTTTGTAAAGATATGGGATCAAGAGTGTTGCGCATATCATACCTAAATCTCAATGTTCTATTGTATTTGACATACATTAAATCATTGAGACGTTGTTGTTCCAATCTATTTCTTTTCTTGCTATGAAGCTGCAAGTATTAAAAAGATATTAAATTCTATAAAACGAGAATAAAAAATATTTGAATTCAACAAAAAATTAGTTAGAATATTAAATACTCACATGTTCGAATACACTCCAGTTTCGTTCACAACCCGATGAACTACATGTTAAGCTAAGGACTTTTATGGCAAAAGTTTGCAAGTTTGGAGTATAAGAACCATATGATACCCACCAATCAGCTGCGATAATCCACTAGTTAAAAATAATTGTTACCAAGTATTAAGTTTTACTAAAAGTATTACTAAAAATAAACTCCATGAGTCTATAATATATTTACCTGGTACTCTTGTATTTCTTTGCCTAATCGCAACAGCCTTGCCAAAAGACTCTCACCCTTCATATAAATACTCATTTCATTAGTGATCAAATCTTGAACAGTGACATCCGGGACCAACCTTTGCATGCATTCATAAAACCCATTCATCACTTCATGATCTCTTTGTACCTCTAACGCTTTTGGGTAAAAGAATTCTGAGTTACGAAAATGTGCAGCTGCATGTAAAGGTCGATGCAATTGGACATCTCATCTTTTGTCAATGATTTCGAAGATTTCATTATACTTCTCTTCTTTATGATCAAATGAACTTGCAATGTATTCTTTTGCCCTATCCATTGCCTCATAAATGTATCCCATGGGAAGTTTCTTCTCGGTATCAACCAATCTAAGCACTTTGACAAGAGGACCTGAGACCTTAAGGGCAAACACAACAGTATTCCAAAATGAAGACATCAACAAAGTTTGTGCCATTCTTTTATCTTGTGGCTCCTTTGCCCATTTTCTTGAGGTCCAGTCTTCGGAGGTGACCATCTTTCTCAAATTATTTTTTTGTTGATGCATCCTAGACAAAGTCAAAAAAACGGTTGCAAATCTAGTTTTTGCAGGCTTGATCAAATTCTTCAAATTTGTATAGCGCCTCATCATGTTTAGCAACGTAGGCCGATTGTAAATGTAGCCATGTACTGCAATATCCTTCAAATGTTCTTTTTAGTCTAAGTATTCACTTGAAACAAATGTCTTTTCTAGACTCAAGTCCAAACAATGTAGCAGCACATGTTGTGTCCAATTACAAGTGTTATACCCTTACGCTCACAAAATCCTCACCTATAAATTGTACAATACAGAGTTGAATTATTTTCAACGATTTTTAAATTTTTAAAATACCAAACATACACACTATGAGTAAAACACATTTGATGTTAAGGAATGTGAGGAAAATCATTCTTACCGCCACACACTTAGATACCCAGCAAGCGGCTTATCCAGTGATTTAAACATACTTGCACCACATTCCTCGTCCAATTCTCCAAACTTGTTAACTAGTATATACTTAAATAGCGATTTCCGACCAGTACCAATTCCTTTGAATAGCTAGATTTGTAGCATCACCATACCGGACTCTTTAACAAACATGTCCTCTTGGACAATTAACTAAAAACAAATAACTCAATGCTTGCCTCTGCTTATCAGTCCAACATCAGCCATTATGGAACATCCGTATATTGACAATGACTCTTTATTGATACTTCACAAACTCTCAGCGTGAGTGCTTTCACTCTCTATTTTAGATATGGTAACCCGCCACTTCATGAGTATAGTCATGGTGGCGTCAAATACCAGGACCATATTGCAATGGCCTTAATCATTGTCCAAAATCTCTATAATTTATTGCATTAAAAGGGGAATACCATGCATGCATTACATCCACCTTGCAAATCTTTGCAGTAGCCCGAGCTCTCATTTCTTTTTTGTAAGGGTCGATTTTGCATCAATTTTTGTTTTTTCTCTTTTGCTTTGTCTCTTCAATTTATTCACCCACTGATCAGACTTGGTTGTGAAGTAAACAATCCATAAGCCCCTTTTCTCTTTGGCATTTTTGATTTGGATTTGGATTTGGTGAACCTGGGCTCTACTGTCAACTTGCGGTGTTATTGACATTGATCTCAACAACATCATCATCTTCATCTCATCTATCCATGTCCATGTCATCAAAATCAGGCAACATGTTCATTTCTTCTTTTTGTAGTGTCTTTTTTTTAGACATGAACCTCTAATCTCTTCTCTTACATGAGGACACTTCCGGGCAAGCAGTAACATTCCTATAACCTCCCGCAAGGTGTTGTTTCACCCGATAAACACCTCCATTGATACATTTACACAAAAATTACACTCAAACTTGTTAATATTTCTCTCCACCAAATTGGGCATTATTGACCATCGCCGGATCTTGTTCTATACTTTTCGATTCATTTTCTACTTAGTACTTACCTACAAACACAAAAAATAAATTAACGAAAAACCAATTTCAGTTTAATGAATGGTGTAATGTAGGTTTATGTGACGAATTGAGTTAATGTATGTAATGTATGAATCGATGTTTCTATTTTTTTAATATATGAATGAATTTAATTAATTGATGTCTATTACATCCATTACTGGTCATTCCTTAGTGTTACATATTTTCCAGAAAAACTTTGACCCCAATTTTATTAATTCATCCACATAATAAATTGATTAACTTTATGAATCCAATTTATCAATTTAATTTATCAACCAATCTTCTCTGTTTTATTTTTTTAATCACAACACATTAATCAAAACACAATAAATTTGATTATTGATAAGCAATTGTATTTTAATCTTTATTAATCAATTAAATTCTTGATTAAATTCTTATTAATCACATTAATCACAACACATCAACACATTAAAGTTTATTAATCACAACACACTTAATCTTTTTCTAATTATTAATTAATTCAATTTTCTTATTTTTTTTTATTAACTTATGAATGCAATTTATGAATTAATTAAATGTTATTGATTTCAATGTAATGTAATGTATGAATAGTATGAATTAATAACTTATGAATCAATTGTTCTTTTTTTTTTAATAATGATCAATAAGTTAAATTTCAGTAAAGATGAACCAATTTCAATATAATCATAATGAACGTAATGTAATGTATCTATTTTTTTTATTTATGTATGTATGAATTAATTTATTTATTTATGTAATAATCATAATGAATGTAATAATCATTAATGAAAAAAAAAATAAAGAAAAAGAAAGTCGAAAGAAGAAAAAATTAATAATTGAAAAGAAGAAGAAAAGGAATGGACTGAACTGAAGGAAAAAAATAGACTCAAATAATTGAAAAAAAAAGAAAAGGAAAAAAAAAAAAAGAGAGGACTGAACTGAAAGTCGAAGGAAAAAAAAGAAAAGGAAAGAAAAAAAAAAATGAAAGTCGAACGACCAGTGTCGAAGACGAAGAAGAAGGAGAAGGGGAGAGAGAGTCGAACCTGCGAAGCCGAAGTCGATCCAGTGTCGCAGTCGAAGTCCAGCTCTTGTGTCGCAGTCGTAGTCGCAGACCAAGTCTAGCTCCAGCAGCTCGAAGTCGATTGCGAGGCGAAAAAGAGAGAGACGACTTCGATTAGGGTTAATCTTAGTCCTATTTGGCTCATATGGTACATGAGTTCTGATCCTCTGTGATTATGAGCCATTCGAAAGGTTCATCTGAGTCACATCTGAGTCGTTAGATCAGATCTACAGATTAAACGCTCAGTCGCGCCTAGGCGAGGGCCTTGCGCCTCTCTCGCCTTTTTTAAAATCGCGGCTAAGGCGCTCGCCTGGCTCAAGCCGCCTCGCCTGGTACCTATACAGGAGCAGATGGTGTGCCTCGACTCACCTTGCGCCTAGGCGCGACTTTGACAACACTGCCCACTACCCCTACCTCCCCTAGCCCTAAAGACATCTTTTTTCCCCTCTCATAGGCCCTCGATGCCATCTCCCTCTCAGTCACAACCCCATCCCACGCCAAACAAGATAGCAGTTATGATCAGCCAATAGTGTCTAACTACCAAAGGCCTAGCAAGAGAAGACGAGGTTGGACTAAAACATTGGGGCTTATGCAGAAAAACATTTGTTCATTAATTACCAAAAGTCCATTCAAAGCATATGCACAAGTCATATGATACAAACACAAACTTTATTTATTTATCTTTGACATTTACAAGCTCAACATCCAAAAAGGAAAGTAAAACATTTACAAATATACAATCACCACACACACACACAAAAAAAAACAAAAAAAAAAAAGAAAGAAAGAAACTTATATATAAGATCGTCCTCTCAAATGGTAACTTCCAAAAGTAGAAAAAGAAAAGTAAAAAAACTTCTAAGTGGATCTCTCTTCCTCAATCTAATCACCGGCATCACCTACATATATGTAGGGGAGAGGGGTGAGCTAAAGCCTAGTGAGTAGTAATATAGTAAAGTGGTATATGAATGAACACCAACAAGCTTTATTAAAACCAAGCACATAATCGTTTTGAACATAATATAGCTTTTCAATAAAAACAAGTCTATCTTGCAACAGATACATAGCGATGAACATTCTCAAAGCACTTCGAGTCAAGAGTCGAGACTACAACCGGTGGCAGAGATCAGTTAACAAGAGATTATTGGTATGATTCCCAATAACAAACAAGTTTCAAGATGTCATCTTAATATATGATATAAAAATTACATGATGTTCATTCATAGTAAAACATCAGCATAATCTTCTAAACATATCATACGATTGTATTTTAAATCATAATTTTAAAAAAATAACTTTACTGCACTACTACTCACAATTGGCTCCGTGAACAAGCGTTTAGACCTCCTCAGGCAAACCTATACAAGAAAAGAACAAAACATTGAAGCATTTGAACAGTCCTTAAACTTCCTATATTAATTTATCATGCAATTAGGTTTTAATCCTCTTTTCTATTTATACATATCTCAAATGGGTTTCTAATTATGTTACCCTTGTGTCTAGGTGTCAAAACATTCCTATGAGTGTCTAAAGAAAGGGAGAAAAAAATGAGTGAAATCAAGTTTTCAACTTCTTAAAACTAGTCAGTTCGCTCGAGCGGTGAATGGGTACCTCCCAAAAGTTGCAGACCTGCAAAACTAGATACTGAGAGTTTCTAAAGTGTGCTCCAGTGGTACATTAACCGCTCGAGCGGTTGGCTGACCTAGACAGATCTTTACGCTTGCAAACAATAAAACTTCTAAATGTCTGTTGTGTCCACTCGTGCGGTCTTCTCACCACTCGAGCGGTGATGAGCAAAAAGCGATTGTGCAAAATTCTGCTCTGTTTTGAAAGTTGTTCCAAGGCTGCTATGGCTAGGTTTTTAGCAAATTCAACTTCAAACATGCATATTTGACTTTAATCATGATTCCATACTTGTTTTCTAGATCAAAAACATCAAATCTTTATTTGTTTCCAAGGTTTGAAACATAGTTCAAGCTTAAAGGAGAAATTACTTAGTTTTTCAACTTTTGCTTCTAAAACTCAAAATCAATTTGTGAAATCATAGAAAATCAAGAGAACATGTGAAACTAATAGTGTAAGAACATCCAAAATACCAAAAACCTATTCAAAAGATTGAAAATCCTAAGTTTCCTCCCTAATTCATCATGCTAGCTAGCTTCTCTTCTTTTTCCTCTAAGTTCTTCATTCCTAACCCATTTTCATCCTAACTTTTCTTGATTTATGATACTAAGGAGGTCTACTATATGATTTAGAGTAGAAATCTCACCATGGAATACTTCTAGGATGGTTTTTGATTGAATCTCTTTGAGTTCTCCCTTTTCTCCTTCCTTTATCTCCTTCTACCTTTCTTTCTCTTCTTTCTCCCGGTTGTTCTACCAACTTGCTGATTTCTCTCCTTTCATTTGTTTTGGGACATGAGATTTTATCGTGTGTGGTTGGGGCAAAGTTGCACAATTCATTAGTGTTGCTAATTTCCTTGCTTAAAGCTAATTGATCTAACTTAGTAGGTGTTTGGGGTAAACTAAAAAGTGCACTTTTTCTACCTACACACACTTATTTGGGTCACATCAATCAACATCTATCAACATCTCCTCTCTACTTTTCTAACCACTTTCTCTACTTTTCTACACGTTTTTTTATAAAAAGTTAAAAAGTATACTTATTTAGAACATCTCAAGCCACCCCTTAGAGTCCATTAATTCATTCTTATCCTAATCAGACTCAATCTAATTAATCTCCACTAATCATATTTAATTGTTACTAATCCTAATTAGCAAAAATAACAAATAGCATGAAATGGTCAAGGTTGTTAGTCCAAGGCCTTTAAGCTCCTCACTTAAGGTATAAGCTCATCCTATGATTCTGAAATCAAGTTCTAAGCTATCTCCTAACTCAAATCACACAACAAACAAATTCTAACATATCTTTCCAAACTTCTTCCTCCTCTCATTCAAATGCTAGCAAGTCCTAAGTCACACAACTACATAACATATAGCATGAATGCAAGAACAATTAAATATACATGATGCATGAATGAGTTTGGTTGTCACACTCTCCCTCTCCCTCCCCTTCCCCCAACCCTTCGAAGACCTCTCTCTCTCTCAAGTGAGAGATTTTAGTGAGTTAACTCACTCTGAGTTAAATGTATAAATCAATGAGTTAAATGGGAGTGAGAGCAAATTGACTATTTTGCCCTTAAAAACTCAGCACATGTTGTCCATGTGTGCCTTTTCCGTCCAAATGCTTAACAGAAATTATCTATTGGATCAAATTGACACAAAATACAAAATTCAAGGTCAAAATCAAGCAAATTAAAATTAGAGGTATCAAAATGACACACCATGCAAATTACGGGGACCATTAGCATAATTTATCCTAAAAACTAAAACGAAAAAAAAAAATGAAAAATATATAATACATCTCTAAAGATCAAAATAATTTTCAATTAAAGTAAATTGGGAAAAATTATATATTTCACAATTCAAACACAAACAAGAATTATATTTTAGCTTTTTAGTATCAAGGGTAAAATAAATTAGAAAAATAAATTTCCAGTGTTGCGTCCAAAGGGGAAAAGTTAAAATGAACAGAGAGAGGGAGAGAGAGAGTGAGAAGCACTATGTATTGGTTATGGAACATGGGAGATAGTATACATGCCAACAAAGTTTTTAAACCCTGTTCCGCAGGTTGATGTAAATTTTTTGTTCCAACAGTGACCAACCCAACAAACACCCATATCCAACCAGTTCTAACCTGTGCATATCACGCAGGTTAATTTGAGCAAGCCAATTACAACCCGATAAAAGAATTGGACTGGTTTGGGCAAGTTCAACAGAATTATTAATGGGTGGGTTCACAGGTACAAGTTAGTATTGCCACCTCTCTACTTCAGACCTTCACGGGTTCACTGATAAGCCTGTTGAGGATGATGAAGCAGCCACTGGCTGATGAGTCGTCAGAGAATTCTGATGGAGAAAGTCTACGGAGTTATCCTTGACAATCCCATAAATGAAAAAGACAAAGCTATAAATAGTGGAAATAATATAAAATGCTGTAAAGTGGTATGGAGGCTTTTATAAATAATATAATGGTGACAAACAACAATAATTAGCCACAGTAATTTTTTAAATTAGAAGTCTAATCAAGTTATGAAGAAAGGTTTTTCGTCCTCTTTCCCATCATTTAGGATATAATTTTTGAGTTGAGAGCAAGAAGAGGTTCCGTTCCGAATTATTATTCTAGAAAGAAAGAGACTTACTGTGTCACGCTCATTAAAAAGGGGTTGCTGGAGTGCTGGATATGAAAAACTTAGCTGCTCGTAGAGCTGGATGGTGCTATCATCTGTGCTTGATTCCTGCAATGACACATGGAAGAAAGAGATTTATGAACACAATATAAGATTTTTCAGATATAATCCCTACTTCCTTGTTTGATGTCCATGACAACCCTCACACTGGTGTCTACTTTTAGATTTTATATTTTGACATTCTTAAACCAAATAATACATACTATACCATGCTCATAAGACAAAACAACATTAGCTAATAAGTGTTCAAATGACTAGAATTCTCTAATTTATGAATAGAAATACAAACCGATACAACCAAAAAAATATGCAGAATCAAAAGTCAAATAACAATTTAAGCTAGGTTTGGCATCCCTTAAAAAAGTCAAAAAGTCACTATCATATTTAAGACACATCATCTTATTTAAGTCACATCACCTCTCTACCACATCACTTCAAACCCAACTCATATTTCATAAAAAGTCAAAAAGTGCACTTATTTAGAACATCCCAAACAACCCATTAGTTTCATCTCTCTCTATCTGTGAACTAATAGAAGTTTGACAAGGAACAAAGTTTCACATAAATCTAGATAGCGATAAATTTGAAGAGGAAGACCTTCAAATTGTTCCTGGACATATCAGCTAATGATGTTATCCCACGAACAACAGCGAGCACAAGGCTCAGTTTTTCATTCCATTTAAGAGAATTCCAAGCCCTTTCAAGCTGCAAAACATTTCAAGAAAATTAATAAATCATATTTTTGTTATTTGTCACAATATATACGCAACACAGCCCATCTCCAAGAAAAAGGAAAGAACACAGAATGAAGTAGAGCATGTGTAACTGCCCAAGTAAAAATAGAATTACCAAAACTAGGATTTTTGGGCCTATTTGAAATACCAAGCTGAGTAGCTTACAAATTACAATGGTGACACATCTTTCATGTCATAAAGATGTACTTACAGTTATTTCAATAGGTCGATGCCCCAAAAGTAATTGAGCTCCAACTTCTTCAGATGCTTTTCGAGCAGCACAAAACGGCGTAGTAAGTGAAACACTTCTGGTGATCTCATCAATACATCTGAAAAACTGTTTTCTCACAAGTCTACTACCTCATCCCCAAACGGTCTGTTCACGTCTGAAGAGAGTTTTGATGAGAAAGCTGACAGTAGACGTAATGCCACTGTCAATTTGAAAAACAACAACACAATCAAAGCAAGTTGCTTCTCCCATACTAGAGTAAGTAAAATGGAGAGAGGGGGGTGGACACCGGTGACCCGGAAGAGAAGGCCAAGATACCAACAGATTCACTACAGGGGTGCAGGATTCATCACGGTTTTTGTCGATAATCTGCCGGAATCTATGGTGCCACGAAGTCTCTTTAACCTATTTAGTAGCTATGGTGTGGTAAAGGATGTATTCATCCCAAATAAGAGGAGGAAAGCTACTGGTTCAAGATTTGGTTTTGTTAGGTATGACTGTGTTACAGCAGCCAGGGTAGCAGTCCAGAAAGCGAATGGAATATGGTGTGATGATAAGAGTCTGAAAGTGAGATTGGCAGAGTTTGGAAGCGATGCTCAGTATCCAAAGAAGGAAGAGGTTAGAAAAGGGAAGAGTGTACAGACGGAGCATTGGAAGCACGGTAAAACTACAACAGGGTTCAATGGTCAGAGATCTTTCGCTGATGTAGTACAAGGTACACGTAAGGAGAATACTGAGATAACCATAGATGTAAAGGAAGTTGGAAATGGTTGGCTTTACGAAAGTTTAGTTATTAAGCTAAAATCCTTCTTCTCCTTTAATGCTTTCAAAGAAGAATGCAGCACACGAGGCTTGACGGAGGTTTGTATAAAGGATGGTGGTGGTCGTATAGCTCTTCTATCCTTCAAGTCAGTGGCACATCTGAAAGATTGGAAGGGTAGACTAGAGGAGTGGATATATGAGTGGTGTGACTCTATGGACGAATGGGTGAAGGGTAAAACCATTCAACAAGAAAGGTGTGTTTGGCTGGTTTGTCATGGCATTCCCTTTAATCTCTGGAATGTTGGCACCTTCAAGGCGGTGGGTAACATTTGGGGAGAAGTCGTTCAACTTGATGAAGCCACGAGTTCTCTGGAGTCTTTAGCGTGCGGCAAAGTAAGGATCATTACTCGCAGGTGTGAGTACATTAATCAAGTGATCATGCTAAATTGCAATGGGCAGCAGCACCCAGTAAGGGTGATTGAAGAGTTATTTTTCCCGGATAGTCTAAGATCTGGGGAATGCAGGCATCAGATTTCTGAGGGTTTACTTTCCAGCTCCGGCAGTCAGAGTGCCATGAATTCCGGTGACTTAGAGGGTAGGGTGGTGGTAGGTATGGAAGGTGATAGTAGACCTGATGCGGCAGCTTCTAATGGGATGGTAAGTGTAGTGCAAGACACAGTTGAGGGGACTGCACACTGTATGGAAGACCCTCATGATCAATATAAACACTAGAAGGCTATTGTAAATAAATATTTCAAACTCAATTAATTCCTCCATAATCTTGTCAAGTACTCGACAACTATCCTAAAGTAAGACTTCAAAATCAAGTTTTTTTTTTTTATAAAAAAAAAAAAAAAAAACTCATGCAGTTTCACTACAATCCTTTAAAGCAATTGACAAATATTTTAAAGCAATATTTAAAAATCAAGCATTAATTACTCCATAAAAGATCTTGAATCTTATTCTAAAGCAATATCACAAACTCAAGCAATTCAGCATATGGAGAGAGGGGGGTGGATACCGGTGACCCGGAAGAGAAGGCCAAGATACCAACAGATTCACTACAGGGGTGCAGGATTCATCACGGTTTTTGTCGATAATCTGCCGGAATCTATGGTGCCACGAAGTCTCTTTAACCTATTTAGTAGCTATGGTGTGGTAAAGGATGTATTCATCCCAAATAAGAGGAGGAAAGCTACTGGTTCAAGATTTGGTTTTGTGAGGTATGACTGTGTTACAGCAGCCAGGGTAGCAGTCCAGAAAGCGAATGGAATATGGTGTGATGATAAGAGTCTGAAAGTGAGATTGGCAGAGTTTGGAAGCGATGCTCAGTATCCAAAGAAGGAAGAGGTTAGAAAAGGGAAGAGTGTACAGACGGAGCATTGGAAGCACGGTAAAACTACAACAGGGTTCAATGGTCAGAGATCTTTCGCTGATGTAGTACAAGGTACACGTAAGGAGAATACTGCGATAACCATAGATGTAAAGGAAGTTGGAAATGGATGGCTTTACGAAAGTTTAGTTATTAAGCTTAAATCCTTCTTCTCTTTTAATGCTTTCAAAGAAGAATGCAGCACACGAGGCTTGACGGAGGTTTGCATAAAGGATGGTGGTGGTCGTATAGCTCTTCTATCCTTCAAGTCAGTGGCACATCTGAAAGATTGGAAGGGTAGACTAGAGGAGTGGATATATGAGTGGTGTGACTCAATGGACGAATGGGTGAAGGGTAAAACCATTCAACAAGAAAGGTGTGCTTGGCTGGTCTGTCATGGCATTCCTCTTAATCTCTGGAATGTTGGCACCTTCAAGGCGGTGGGTAACATTTGGGGAGAAGTCGTTCAACTTGATGAAGCCACGAGTTCTCTGGAGTCTTTAGCGTGTGGCAAAGTAAGGATCATTACTCGCAGGTTTGAGTACATTAATCAAGTGATCATGCTAAATTGTAATGGGCAGCAGCACCCAGTAAGGGTGATTGAAGAGTTATTTTTCACGGATAGTCTAAGAGCTGGGGAATGCAGACATCATATTTCTGAGGGTTTACTTTCCAGTTCCGGCAGTCAGAGTGCCATGAATTCCGGTGACTTAGAGGGTAGGGTGGTGGTAGGTAAGGAAGGTGTTAGTAGACCTGATGCGGCAGCTTCTAATGAGATGGTGAGTGTAGTGCAAGACACAGTTGAGGGGACTGCACACTGTATGGAAGACTGTATGGAAGACAGGGACAGGAGAGTGTTTCGACCCCTGATAGGGGTGTCAGGAGCTGGTTTGGAAAATTCAAAAAAAGGGGATGATAGTCATGATGTAGCTCTGAAGTGTGTAGGCGAAGTTTCAAAAGAGGTGGCTGAGCAGCCCCAATTTCTAGTCGGAAGCAATCACACGGATGGGTTTTTGATGAGCATTAGTGGGCCTGAAACTATAAGGCCCAATTTTAATTTGGAAGTAGTGATCCCCAGAGCCCAAGGTGAAGCTGGCCCTGTTAGGCCAGCTGGGCTTTCTTTATCTAATTTGAGTGACTGTGTGGCAAGTTCAAAGCTCCTTGCCGAGAGAGCCCAAGTAAGTCTGCAGAATGGTGAGGGCAGGTCGAATCAGGTTAGGGGGGAAATTGCTACTATCTGTAAAGGAAAGGTTGCAGCAAGGAGGAGTGGTACAGCCAAAAAGGGTGGTAAGGCTCTCCAGCAAGGTAGAATTCTACCTCAAAGCTTCAGTAGGGGGGCCATCTTCAGAGCTACAGCTGCTGCAATTTCCAGCTCACACTCGGCAACCCGTGAATCAAGCAGAAAAAAAGGAAATCTGATGAAGGAGGCTGAAGCAACAATACAACTTGGGAAAAAGTTAGGCATTGATTTTGGTGGAAAGGAGGATATCGTGGCCAAACAGATTGTGCAGTTGGAAACTCGAGATTTGGAAAGGATTTCAGATGGGATTCGGGCAGCTGAAGTCTGAATACCCAGCGTAGGAGTTTAGGTGTTATGAAGTCTGTCTTATGAAGATATTGTCATGGAATGTGCGTGGTCTAAGTAGGCCAGAGAAAAGGAGTAAAGTTAGAAGCATTTTAAAAGAAAGAGGGGTGGATGTGGTACTACTTCAAGAAACCAAGACAAGTAATCTGGAGGTAAGTTTCATTAAATCTATTTGGCCTTTCGATAAAATGGAGTATATGGGAGTAGATGCTGAAGGCAGGGCTGGAGGTTTACTGTGCATCTGGCACCCTGACAGATTTAAGGTTGTTGATTGTTGTGGCTCCAGAAATTTCATCATTTTAGCAGGTATTTGTGGTCAGTCCTTTGAATGCTCGGTGGTGAATGTCTATGCTCCCAACGATGTGGGTAGAAGAAGTCAATTGTGGGAATCCTTAAAGAGTATGAAAATCTCTTACCCGACTCCCTGGTGTTTGGGTGGAGATTTTAATGAGATTAGATTCCTTAGCGAAAGGAAGCGGTGCTCCAGAAGGGATAGAGGTATGAATGATTTTAATAAGTTGATTGATCAGTTGAATCTTGTTGATCTGCCCATGAAGGGGGGGAGATTCACGTGGTGTAATGCTCTTGACGGGGAGAGATGGAGTCGGATAGATAGGTTCCTCCTGGAGGGTAGGTGGCTTGAGCAGTTCTCCTTCAAGCAGTGGGGACTGCCCAGAACGATTTCTGATCACTGTCCTGTCATGATAAAGGAGGATGAAAGGAACTGGGGCCCTAAACCTTTCAAATTTATTAATGCTTGGCTACTTCACCCTAATTTCATACCAGCAGTAAAGAGCTCATGGGAGGTTCAAGTTCAACAGGGTTGGGCGGGGTTTAGATTGTTGAGGAAGCTTGCATCTCTCAAAGCCAGTCTTAGACGATGGAATGTTGAGGTGTTTGGTCATGTGGAAACAGATCTTAAGAAAGCGGAAGAGGATTTACACGCCTTGGATTTGGTGGCTGAAGAACGAGCATTGTCAGAAACAGAAGCAAATTCAAGGAGAGTAGCCAGAGGGCTAGTTTGGAATTTGCATAGAAGGAAGGAAAGTTTGTGGCATCAAAAATCTAGAATGCTGTGGGCTAAATGTGGGGACAAGAATACTAGGTTTTTCCATTTGATGGCTAGCTCTAGGCAAAGAAGAAACCTCCTTGATTCAGTTATGGTTGATGGGGTTAGAGTGGTGGAACCTAACCCAATGAAGCTAGCTGTTCATAGGCATTTTTCGAAATTATTCTCTGAGTCGTGGAGTTCTAGGCCGAAGCTTCTTGGCCCTTTTGCATCCATCTCTTCTGCTGGGCAGGTAGAATCCTTAGAAGCAGCTTTTTCGGAACAGGAAATATGGGCGGCAGTTAAAGATTGTGATGGGAACAAGGCCCCGGGACCGGATGGCTTCAGTCTGACTTGTTTTCAGAAATGCTGGAAGATAATGAAGGGTGAAGTTCTTCAATTTATGGATGAGTTTCACTCTAATGGGAAGATTGTCTCAGGTCTTAATAGCTCTTTCATCACCCTCATTCCTAAACGGGTGGAACCTTGTGAGTTAAGTGATTTCAGACCTATTAGTCTCGTTAACTCAGTTTACAAAATTCTTGCAAAAGTGCTATCAAAAAGGTTGAAAAGAGTGCTGCCAGAAATTATTAGTGAAGTTCAAACAGCTTTTTTGGGTGGCAGATCTATTCTTGATGGTGTTCTGATCGCGAATGAAGTAGTACATTGGTGGAAAGCTGCAAAAATGAGAGGCATCATTTTAAAGCTAGATTTCGAAAAGGCATATGATTCAGTTAATTGGGAGTTTCTATTTTCTATGATGAGGAATTTCGGCTTTGGGGAGAAATGGTTGGGTTGGATCAAATCATGCCTTTCATCATCCAGAGTATCCGTTCTGGTTAATGGATCTCCAACAACAGAATTTGCTCCTCAAAGAGGGCTCAGGCAGGGAGATCCATTATCTCCTCTTTTGTTCAATATTGTAGCAGAAGGTTTGAACATTCTGATTGAAAGAGCAAAGGAGCTGGGGCTGGTTAAAGGAGCTTCTGTGGGGCCTACTGAGTTGAAATTCTCTCATCTGCAATTTGCCGATGATTCAATCATATTCTGTGAGGCGGTCAGAGGTGAATTGGTGCACATTAAGAGAATTTTGCGTTGCTTTGAGGTACTTTCTAGCTTAAAGATCAATTTCCACAAAAGCTTGTTGTGTGGTGTGGGTGTACCTGATGGTGAGGTTAACCAGTTTACCTCCATTTTCAACTGCCGTAGTCATAAACTCCCTTTTAGTTATCTGGGTCTACCTCTAGGGGCTAACCCCAATAGAAAAAGTACATGGCAACCTGTGATTGAGAAAGTGAAAAAGAAGCTAGCTAATTGGAAGAGGAAAGTTTTGTCTTACGCCGACCGTTTAACCTTGATCAAGTCAGTCCTCTCTTGTATGCCCATCTATTTTCTATCAATTTTCAAAATCCCTGTGGGAGTAGCTAAACAGATTGAGAAGATTCAAGCAGCATTCTTATGGGGCAAATCTGAACTTAAGAGAAAAGTCCACTTGGTGAAATGGGCGGATTTAACAGTGGATAAGTCACAAGGGGGTCTGGGGCTTAGAAATCTAAGAGAAGTCAATGCCTGCCTCTTGTTAAAATGGTGGTGGCGGTTTGGTGTGGAGGACAGAGCCATATGGAAACAAGTAGTGAGGTGCAAATATGGCCTGGGTGCTGGTGGCTGGGTACCTTCCATTCCAGAGTCTAATTCAGTGTCAAGAATTTGGTCTGATGTTGTTCATCTTGGGGCATCTAGTCCTGAACTGATGGAGCACTATTTATCCAATTTCAAAATTCTTGTTGGAAATGGGCGAAGAATTCTTTTTTGGGAGGATAAGTGGTTAAATAATCTCTGCCTCAAGGCGGAATTTCCCAGACTATACAGGCTGTCTGTGGAAAAGGGTTGTTCACTTTTGCAGATGTATCATAATAGAGGGTCGGCACTCGAGTGGAAATTTCTGTTTAGCAGATTTTTGTTCGCTTGGGAGGAGGAGGAGGTCGCTAGGTTGCAAGGGGTTCTAAGGGGCACACTTGTTCTTACAGACCAAGCAGAGGATTCTTGTTTATGGATGGCAAATCCTTCAGGATCTTACTCCGTGGGTGCGTCTTGGAAGTGGTGGATGCTGTCAAAAGGTCCAGTCATAAGTGCTGCTAGTATGTTGTGGAAGAACTCTGCTCCACCCAAGGTGAAATTTTGCAGCTGGTTAGCTTGGAAAGAAAGACTTAAAACTTCGGTGTTTTTGAAAAGGATTGGTGTGTTGAATCCGGAAGCGAACACACTGTGCCTGCTGTGTAAAGCAGAGGAGGAGTCTTTGAATCATTTGTTGTTGTCGTGCCCTGTCGTTTGGAAACTATGGTCAGACATGGTTATATGGTGGGATCTGGTCTGGGTGGTTCCAGGTTCAGTCGAGGGATTGCTACATTGGTGGGCTGGCTATAAATTTAAGGAGATCCAACCATTGTGGAAAGTTGTCCCTGTAGCTGTTTTGTGGTCAATTTGGAAAGCTAGGAACGATTGTCTTTTTCACCAAAAGAGTGTTGATGGGTTTGATTTGGCTGAGTTGGTTAAAGTGAGGATAGCTTTGTGGTGCAAGCATAGCTATGGAGGTTTGCAATACTCCGTGGAGGACATTGTTTTTAATCTCGACAGTATCAAAGTCTGATTGGGGTTTGCAGGTTTGCAAGTTTCGTGTGGTTGCAGGGTTGTAGTTGTGGTTTGTGTTGGGTTGCTGGGTGTAGTTTGCAACTCTGTTCAGGTCGGGTTTTGCTGGTTTGGAGGCTGTCCTGCTGGTTTGCAGTATTCTACATTACTGTGTTTTCTGGTTTGTCTGTTCTCCAGGTTTGCAGGTGTTGCTGTGTTGCTGCAACAGTGAAGTTTTTGGTTCTGTTCTGAATTTGGGAGGATTGTATTTCAGTAGTTTGTGGGTCTCAGAAGGCTTGCTTCAGCAATTCTCAATGACAGCCTTCATGTCATTACGTGGGTGAGTCAAAATCTGGAGTCTGCTGCTAGGTAGCTCTGCTGCTGGTCCGATTCTGATATGGTCTGCTCAGCTGTGTGATGATCTGGATCGGTTGCTGTTTTGGTCGCTGTTTTTGTTTCGAGTTTTGTCTTGCTGGGTGCTTCATTGGGTCGATTGGGTTGTTAGGGGGTTGGTATCATTGGGTTGATTGTCAACATCTCTTTATTTGTGGGAGCATCTCTTATTTTTCTTTTTGTTGGTTCCTCACCAACAGGCGCTTGGAGCTTCGTGTTAGCTCTAAGCTCCTCTTTATTGATGTTTCTAATCATACTGTGTATGTTTCATCAATAAAGATTTATTTGCCGATAAAAAAAAAAATTTGAAAAACAACAATCATCTTTGCTTCAAAGGCACATGGCAATAATATGTGCACAAATTTTACCCACCCAAGTTTAAGCTACAACCCCGGACCAAAAAATCCAGAACCACTAGAAAACATATTCGACCTCATTTGCTGGCCAAGTTCACCATCATTGGACATGTACATAATCCCAGCTCTGAAGATGAAATCTGCAACAATTGAAGTTAAGCCATGGATGGTGCACTTAAACAATAATAATAGTTCAACAGACATGAGGGCTCTTGCAGAAATTTTCTTAACGATATGTACACAACAGAACCAATCCAATAATCTTAGCATCCTTTCTAGTAATAAAAAAAATATTCAAAAAAAAAAAAATCTTCATTCGAGAACATTTTTTATCTATTTGTTTGAAAGTTTTTTCACAGGCATTCCCAAAAGTTCTAAGTTTGGGATGGATTGATGTGGTTCCTCGACATTCCTCGACACCTAGGACATCAGAATAGTGAAACATGAACAGAGGGAGGCATAAGAGAACGAGCAAGCATATCTGACTCTGCATATAAAATGATCAAAAAAATTTATGGCAAAATTCATTGGGAAAATTACAAATTAATGGTGCCTTCACAAAATATTTATAAATTCATGAAAAAGTTTATAACTTCAATTACATTTTACCCCTTTGTGGTTTGATGCCGGAGCACTTTAACGCTATGGTTCAATTTACGTTACCTAGAACGTGGATCATTCTGCTATGTGTTACGAGAACCGAAACGTGATACGCCGTATTCTCTAAAATATGGTACGATAGGAGCAAGGTTGTTAAGATCACTATCCGGATTGTAAGATTGTACGATCCTACGATCCTACAATTTGGATTGAGCCCATGTCAAGATCGTGGTGGGATCAGTAAGATCGTAACAGGATCACGATTCCATGCGATCCTGATTAATAGGGATTTTTTGGCTGCCTTTAAGTCAAACAGCCCTTTATCGGACAAAGGAAGGTCAAAAAATGACCCTCTGAGCTGAGATTACGGCAAGAGAAATTGGGGAAAGAGAAATTGGACATCAAACTTCAAATTTTGTGTAACTACTAACCAGGTATACTCCTTTTCTGTCTTATTCTTTGCTGCTGCTTCTTCTTCTTCGCTACTCTTCTTTTTCTTCGAATCTTCCTTCTCTGTCTTCGTCGTCTTCTTCTTCTTCTTCTTCTTCTTCTTCTTCTTCTCCTTTGACTCTTCTCTGCTTCAAATCCTCCTTCTCTGTCTTCGACTTCTTTTTCTTCCCTTCAAGTTCTGTTTCTATTTGATATATTATATACATAATATTTATATATATTTATTTGTGTGAATGAAAACCAAAAAACTTTTTTTCCAATCAATTATATATATTTATAATATTTATATATATATGATTAATGTTGATTATAGCAATGATGATAATTTCGGTGACCATGATTACTTATTTTAGTCTTTTATTTGTTCTACCCTTATTTAGTTTGTCTTCTTTTCATTAAGAAACAATGACAATGGTGTGCAAGTGTTGGTATTTTTTTTAATCATGTTTTCGACTTCTTTTTTTGAGAAAAAAATGTTTGAATGCTTCCTTTAATTGCTTTATTTCTTTTTCTTTTCTTTTTTTTTTTTTTTTTTTTTTTTTTTTGAGTCATTCTATATTCATTTTGATAGTATTACTTAGTCATATAAAAATTATTACATTTTTTTATCATTTTAGTAGGATCTTACAATCCTCAATCCGATCCTACGATCCGATCCAGCAGACTCCCATCCTGTGTAGGATCCCAATCTTAACAACCTTGGATAGGAGTAAACTCGTATAAATTACGCTATAAGAATTTAAGATAGTTGTACAAAAAATTTCTTTTAAACATTAAGCATCCAATAAATTGTAGGTTTTCTTTTTCCAAATTAATCATATATAGCAACTACTAAGGGGTGGACAACGATCAGGCCAGGCCGGGTTCAAGCCAGGCTTGCACTACCTAATAAAGGATTGTCTACCCAAGCCTAACCCGAACATCAAGCCTCTATAGTCAACCGAAGCCCAACCCTGAAGAAAATTATAATTCTCAAACTCGTCCATTGGACATGTATATATATATATATATATGTTTGTGTGTGTGTGTGTGTGTGTGTGTGAGTTTGTTACAAAAGAAGAAGAAGAAAAAAAAAACATGACTATTTTTATTTTTAATAGATAAACACAGGGCTGAACATTGTTTATTTGTTCGGAAACAGGTAACCAAACATTTCTTATTTCTTTGAGAATAGATAATCGAAGTAACAATAGGAGGCAAATAAAGGAGGTCAGACCACCCTTGGGTGGTCGACCGATGGGTGAAATCCTACTTAGTTTTGCTTACACAGAGGGCATATAAGTACAGTGAGGCCATGGATGACTGACAGAAATCCAACCAAAGAAGCATGAAAGTGGATTGAATTGTATGTGGGGAAAAAAAAATAATAATAATAATATAATCAAACAAATTGACAAACCTCGTAATAGTAGAGAAAAAACTTCTCAATCACCACAAATTTTTTCCACTGATTTTGGAAAGTTCCACCGTCGTGGGTTTTGTTAGGGTTTTGGAGAAAAGATTTTTGGGTTGTGGGGGTTGTGGGGGTGTGCATTTGAATGGGGGAAATATTTTTACAAGGATAATTTTAGTATTATTTGGGGAGAGAAAAGAAATTTTAAGAGTTCTACAATTTAGAAATTCGGGTCCAAAGAAATAAGGGGTCCAAAATAATTGATGGGGTGCTAATAGCAGCACTGTAAAAAATAAGTGAAATTAATACAACAAAAAGACAATTTTACCCTTATCTTCTCTAACTCTAAAATTATATTAAGATGTTAATTAAACTAAATGAAATTAAAATATAATTAAGGTTTGATCTAAAATATAAAATATAATTAAGAATTGACATAAAAGATAATTAAATTAAAATTAGATTAAGATGTTAGAAATTACAATATATAATTAAAGATTTAGAATTAAATGTGATTAAAATATAATTAAATTAAAATTAGATTAAAGTTAGGAATTACAATAAATAATTAATAATTTTTTATTAATTGTGATTTAATTGAATTAATGTTATAAATTATAAATTATGTGCATGAGAGAAACCAATAACCAAAAAAAAAAAAACCCGCATAAGATTTGAGGGTATTATATTCATTTCACATCTTAGTTAATGGAGTTAACATTTGCATTTTAGTCCAAAACCACATAATGACTTTCTAGTTTGAACCAAACCATCGGACAGTGAAGTGTTAGTCCAAAACCACATAATGACTTTCTAGTTTGAACCAAACCATCGGACAGTGAAGTGCTCCAAGTCAAACCACGAGGAGAAAAAATGAATTTTGCCCAAAATTTTATCTAATTGACAGAAACTGTGTAGTTCAAAACAAGAAGTGGGAAGGAAACTAATCTTCCCCCTGATCCACTCTAGAATTCACTGGGGTACCCTTCAATCCACAAGGAATAAAAGAGAGAAATTCTCAAAGTATTATTAATCCAAAATTCAACCTCCTTGACCACAATTGTGTTCACACAATCCTTCATGGGTTTCTACATCAGTTTGACATTTTGCTAAAGTTTTTTTTTTTTTTAAATATAGATTATTTGTGATCGTCATTACTAAATAATCTCGTGTTCTACATTACTTCTTTTAAGTTAATATTTCTTTCTCTCACTTTTTGCTGGTTAGTGCTACTTCCAGTTGGGGCATAGGCTCCTCCACGACACAAGTAGCTGGTCATAAAGATAACAAGGGACAAAAGCACATAGCATGAAGATTGAGAGAATTAACTTTTTTGGGTGAATGTGAGAGAATAATTTAGCCACCAACTGTGAACGAATAACAAATATATTTGAACAAATAACAATTCAACAAATTAGTAGAAAAGAAAAGTAGATGACAAAGCACACAAATATCAATGAAACAAATATTCCGCCATCCTATAAAGATAAGCTTGCATATACTTTGGTATGCGAAAGGAAGAAAAAGAAAAAGAAATCTACTACAATCTGTGTCTCAATAATTACACAAATATAAAATAAGAATTGTTAAAAAAAAAAAAAAAAAAGGAAATTCTTGAAAAAAAAAAGAAGAAGCGTGATGACAGTCAATATTCACAAAGACACTAAGAAATTGCATAAATTTGTGCATGATGTGTCAAATTTAAAAACAAAAAGAATGATCAATGTATTACTAGGAGAATAAATAAATAAACCTACAATATAGCATATAATTTTTTACTAATTGGGTATCTCCTGATAACCAATTATCAAAAATTGATCAACTTGTTTTCCCCTTACTTTATCCCTCCAAAAACAACTTTAACAAATGGAATATATGCAACAATCTTAAACAGGTGCAGCAGAGAAACAATGCTTCAACCAACAAGCCTCAGTTAAAAACAAAGATATCAAATAGCAATAGCTCTAAAAATTGCATCAATTAATCTAAGATCTATTACGAAATCAGACTTGCCTGCTTCTGCAAATGCTCCACAACACGCACCACGCGCTCAACATCCACGGCCGATTCGCGAGAGAGTTGAGTCGGCACGGGACCCAACTGACTCCAAGCTTGCATTGTCGGCCAAATAGAGCAAATTGGGGATGGGCTTTGAGCAATTGCGGCGGCTCAAGAGTCGACTAGGATGGTGGATCTGTAATTGGTCTGGTGGTGGTGGAGTGTTGATTGAACCCTAGGAATGTTGGCTTTGAACGAAAAATACTGGCTCCATTTGGAACACTGGTAAAATGCCCTGGGGGTGTGCATTTGAATAGGGGAAATATTTTTACAAGGATAATTTAGGTATTATTTGGGGAGAGAAGAAATTTTAAGAGTTCTACAATTTAGAAATTCGGGTCCAAAGAAATAAGGGGTCCAAAATAATTGATGGGGTGCTAATAGCAGCACTGTAAAAAATAAGTGAAATTAATACAACAAAAAGACAATTTTACCCTTATCTTCTCTAACTCTAAAATTATATTAAGATGTTAATTAAACTAAATGAAATTAAAATATAATTAAGGTTTGATCTAAAATATAAAATATAATTAAGAATTGACATAAAAGATAATTAAATTAAAATTAGATTAAGATGTTAGAAATTACAATATATAATTAAAGATTTAGAATTAAATGTGATTAAAATATAATTAAATTAAAA